ATCCATCCATCCATCCATCCATCCATCCATCCATCCATCCATCCATCCATCCATCCATCCATCCATCCATCTATCCATCCATCCATCCATCCATCTATCCATCCATCCATCCATCCATCCATCCATCCACCCATCCATGCCATCCACCCATCCATCCATCCTTTATTCCATCTATCCATCCATATTTCATTCTATCCATCCATCCATCCATCCATCCATCCATCCTTCCTTCCTTCCATCCATCTCAAAAGGTCATTACTTCTTTCTTTCTTTGGGTTCGACATATTGAAATATCCACAGGTAGCCCGATCAATCGAAATTCATGTTTGTTGTAGTGACTATGCGCGCGAACAAAACGCTCGTGCACCTTAACATATAACTGCATCAATAACCTTGCATACACTACCATTACCCGCATCAAATACTTTAAAAATGGTAACGGAAGGACAGAGGTGACTCTTCAATCAATTTGTTTATTAATGTTAAAGATGTAAAGCTCTGCATCCTCAGTATGAGTTTTACATTCTTTTGGTGTTTAAACTGAATTATAAAAGTAATGTTATAAATTTCTGATTGGTTGAGAACGCGTGCTTTATGAGAGCACGCAGCACGATGCGCACGGACTTTTAATTGCATTATTCCTATCTAAAATAAATTTTAATTTGCATTTTGTAAAAGAAATACAAAAGACGTGCTTGCTGTGCCAAAAACCTCTAGAAGTGTTGACGGGACATTGTAGAAGTGTCGCGTGCTTCTCTTAACACTTGTCTCGTGTTCTGCCAGCCCCTGCGTGACTTACAACTGCACACAGCACGCGCGCACCGCGTTTTTCTATTTCTTCGCTAGAAATTGGAGATCCTGGTACGATGGGAATGCGTGTGCACATGTTTTCAGGCATCCATTTGAGTTGATCTAAATGTTATAACATAATTACAGTGGGTAATCAATCAAGTTAATATGCTAGCTAGTGGAAAAATAGTGTCAAATTTAGACTTAGCTTAATGGAAAATAGTTAAGGATGTATGATTTATTGTTCTTGTGCTGTATGTAAATGTTTTATTTAGTGGTTCATATGATTGTTTTTTAAGACTGTTCCAAGATTATTCAGCGATTTTGTTTGAAAACCCCTTCCTGTAGATCTCAATAATAACAATAACGAGTTCAAAGGCTCCGCGATGTTTCTGATTATCAACAAGAAGTAAGAGAAACGAAAGGAAAATTTTTTTCAATTCATAGAATTACCAAAGGAAAGGAGAAATTTGACTTCCTAATTCACAAACCGACATACAAATAAAAGCAACTATTTCACTTACTTGACACTAAAGTTTTGAAGAATAAAATATTAATGTAAAAGACTGAAGATTCGTAGCTTTTTTAATCAATATTACCTTGAGAACGGCATAAGTTAGCTTCTCATGAACGATGTGTTTTAATAGAGGTGTAGTTTCGATCAACTGATGTCGAATGGTTTACGTAAAGTCATTCATAATAGACCAACGTAGAGTAAACTAAAAGAGATGGTGGATTGAGACCACCTGAGGCAGTTTGGGGAGAATAACAGAAAATTAGAAAATTAGAAAAAATCTCTATGACTATTATATTACTCCCTGACAGCATCAACATAACAAAAACTAGGGACGAGTGAGGGCACGTTGACAGCAAATGAGAGAAAGAGAGAGAGGGAGAGAGAGAGGGAGAGAGAGAGGGAGAGAATGAATCACTTTTATTTAAACACGCTAGTTCCATAAGTTAAAAAACTTCTTTAAATGAAAGCCGTATATGATATTAAAGTTACTTACATTGGAATGATTAAAATAACATAAATGCAATCAAATAGTTAAAATTAATTGACAATTTGCGTGGCTGATAATAACTCATTTAAATTTGATGTTGACGACTTTAAGTTATGAGGTAGTGAGTTCCATTTCATCGCACCTCTATATGAAAATGACCCTCTATAGTACTCGGTCTTTGGGACAAGAGGAGTCTCGATATTTAGTTCTTGGTCTCTAAGTCGAGATTAATAAGGGTTATTTTCCGAACATTTTGAGAAAAGATCGCTAATGTATTTAGGTACAGCAGGGTTAACTGAATCATGCATTAATAAACACAAGTGTTTATCTCTTCGAGATGCCAAATCATCCCAATTTAGGGAATTCAATACATTCTTGGATCTAACATCATAACCTTGAAAAGTTATTATTCGGCCAGCACGGTTCTGCAATTTTTGAAATTTAGTGGCGAGACCTTTGTTTAAATTGCCCCACACCACGTCACAGTAGTCAAAAACAGGCTGTATATTAAAGAGCGTTATATATTAGTTTAAGAACCTCTAAGGGTACAAAGTCACGAGCCTGTTTTACACTATTCATGGAACGCTTTACTTTGGAACACAGATTTTCAATATGCTCATCTCATTTAAGGTTTTGATTAAGGTAAACGCCAAGATATTTTGTTGATACAACCTTTTTTATTTGCTTATCTCCAATGTGAATTGGGATAGTCATCCCTAAATTGGAGAGCCTGAAATCTGAGCCCAAAAACATATACTCAGTTTTAGTTGTTATTAAACTAAGTTTGTTCGCCAACAGCCACTGGTTTACATTATTTAAATCCTCATGCAGCTTAATCTGTATTTCAATTGTTGACAAAGAGACAGTACTCAGAAGAGTGTCATCAGCGTACATATGCGGTTCAGTGAATAGAAGACACCCCGGAGGATCATTTATGTATAAGAGAAACAATAAAGGCCCCAAAATTGAGCCTTGAAGTGCTCCACAGCTTACTGTCATAGGTTGAGATAAACAACCCTCAACAATACATTGTTGCTGCCTATTTGACAAATAAGATTCAAACCAATCAAGGGATGTCTCTTTCACGCCGTAAAGTTCTAATTTCGATGTTTTGTGTAACCGGCGGCAAGGCGCTCAGCTATGAATCAGATTGCAAGTGGTTTTGACAAAAGAATTTATTGAAAAATTCAC